TTTTTTCTTTTCTGTGTATGAGTTTTGCGTAAGTTAGCGCACAGGCCTCCTAAGCTCAAAATACGTGGTGTATGCGAAAGCTTGTGTATATAGAGAATTCTATGGGGAAATCACCGATCGTAGAAAATTGCATAAATAACTATCTCATTTGAAATAAAGTTTTCCTACCTCAAATATGTCGCGAACTTGTCTCTTGAGCTGATTTTAAGCCATTCTGACGCCGTTTAGTGAAGTTATTTGAAATAGAGAGTTTTCCATTTGAGAATAGCTATCTCGTAAGATATTTGCAATAAAATGTTACCATAAAATTCCGCAGTAAACCCACAGGCCTGTGCTTGGTGACATATCAAAGAAGTTTCGAAACTAGGATTGCTCTATATTTGATGTATGCCAAGGGCTATCAAAACTATCAGGTTCTAGTAAAAACGTTTTACCTAGGGAAATTCCAAACACTCATATATGAGTAAAGAGGGATAGGCTCCTACAGTTTTTGATACTAACAGGAGCCATAATATGTATCCACTGAGCTACGAGAACAAAATAACAGAGCTCAACTTCAGCCGTTACCATCTTATTAGCATTCCTTTCCTCTAAATTAAAGAAAATTTATTAGTTGAAAATAACCAATAGCTGGTCGTTCTCCCTTTCCGATCAATTGGCGCTTGGAGGGAAATATTACCGCAAAGCGTTAATTTCCATATTCTTATGTTTTTCTTTTCGAAGGTATTCGTTCTCACTAAACAAATCACCCCTACTGATGGCTATTTTGTTGTCCAATATCCCACTCATCCGAAGAACCCGTCTGCAGCAACAATGTATGTATTACTCTATTTATTTTTAGAAAACAGTCCTAATAAAATACTCGTGCATGCTAATTGGTTAAAAATCGTGTTTGTATGACACGATGGAGACTCAGAACTAGCGCGCGCTGTTGATGTAATAATGGCGTGAGCAAAGATAATTTACATTTTGATGATCAAAGTTAACAAGCTGTGTTTTTCGTCGCGGAGTTTTCTAAAAGAAATAGGAAACATGTTCTCCGTGTTTCTATCGAGTTATGCAAACACTCGTGAAACTTTGGGAGAACTCGAAAAAGCTGTGAAAATCTCGAGTCAGCTATCACGCATAGAAATCGAGAGCGAATAATCTAATTGTTTTTAGTATAATTTATAATGGTAATTGAACTGAGAGGAGTGCAATTTGGTCTGAAATCAGACGCATGATTTCAAAATTGAACGAGCGAGCAGCGCGAGTTCGATTTGAAATGACAAGTATGATTTCAGACCAAAATTGCACGACCCGAAGTTCAATTACCACTTAATTAGATCCATTTAGAAATCGCACAATTTAACAGCCTAAATACAAGAATTACAAGATTTTGGTACTGTCCTGATAATTAAATTCATCCATTTTCAACTTAATGAAGTTTTCGCAACAAAAGTTGCCAAATTTGCTAAACAATGACTTTTGTCTTTTATTTTCCTGTAATGTGATTGGTAAGTTTTAAAAAAAGCCTTGAAATCTGATTGGTTGTTTTGTTTTTCTGTGCCATTCTCATTAGCCGAGAAAAAAGATGCGATTTAGAGCAAAAGATAGTGCGATTTGGGAATAAATCGCACCGCTGAGAACCAAGCACATT